GTCAAAATTTTGGTGTCGATCATTCGATTTCATCCTGGACACTACAGAAAATGGGCTAAAAGTGTTAAAAACCGGAATTTTTCTTTAAAATAAGAAAAACTATTATTTCAAGTGAAGACTGGCTAATTATCTTATTTTAAGAGTAAAAATATTAATTTCATTGGTAAATCATCTTATTTCCCTACTCCAATTAAGGGTAAATACACTTTTTAAGACATTTTTACGTATTTCTAGGTCATTTTTGCAATGTACACTGCAGAAAACGATCTAGAAATACGCAAAAATGTCTTCAGTGTATTTACCTTTACTTTGAGTAGGTACATAAGATCCAGTTCTTCTTGGTTTGATTGAAAGTCTTTTCTTCTTTTTCAGGTGAGTCATGAAAGCCATAAACGTGAAGCTCATCAGCTTGAAGAGACTCTAAATCAGTTCCTCCGAATTGGAGAAACAGAAACGTTATGAGTTTTAAGCAAAGTATTGGAGGTATGGTGATATGGGCTGGTTTTCTGGGTACAGGATTAGGAAAATAAGTATTTGAACAGCCTGTTATTTCTCACAGGTCATCCTGAGCTAAGTTCTCACTCTTAGAAATCATGGAGGGGTCTGAAACTGTCATAATAGGTGCATGTTCACTTTAAAAGAAAAAGAAATCCAGAAATCACAATATACGATTTTTAAAAAACTATTCATACAGCTGCAAATAAATATTTGAACAGCTGAGGAAAATCAATGTTAATATTTGGGACAGCAGCCTTTGGTTCCCGTTAGAGAGGTCAAACATTTCCTGTAGTTCTTCATCAGGAGGGATTTTGCCCACTAGATCAGTCGGGTTTCTGGGCTGTCGGTGAGAAGCAGAGTTCAAGCTCCCTCCAAAGGTTCTCTATCAGGTTTAGGTCTGGAGACCGGCTAGGCCATGCAAGAACCTTGATACGGTTCTACCAGAGTTCCTCCTTGGTCATCCTGGCCGTGTGCTTCAGCTCATTGTCGTGTTGGAAGATCCATTCTAGACTCCTCTTCAAAGCTCTGAGGAAGGAGGTTGTTCCCCAAAATCTCTCAATACATGGCGACGGTCATCCTCTCCTTAATACAGTGCAGCTGTTCCATGTGCTGATAAACACCCCCAAAGCATGATGCTACCACCCCCATACTTCACAGCAGGGCTGGTGTTCTTGGGATGATACTGATCATTTCTCTTCCTCCAAACACAGTTAGTGGATTTATGACCAAAAAGCTCTATTTTGGTCTCCACATGACTCTGGCTCATTGGTAAATTTAACATGGCCGTGACATGTGCTGGTTTAAGCAGGGGAATTCCAGCCATGATTTTAAACCATGATGTCTTAGTGTATTACCAACAGTAACCATGGAAACGGTGGTCCCGGCTCTGTTCAGGTCATTGAGCAGCTCCTCCAGTGTAGTTCTGGGCTGATTTCTCACCTTTCTTAGGATAATTAAGACCCCACCAGGTGAGGTCTTCCATGGGGCCCCAGTCTGAGGGAGATTGACAGTCATGTTTATCTTGATCCAACAGTGGAGCTTTTTTCACCAAGCTGCTTGGCAATCCCCCCGTAGCGCTTTCCAGCCTTGTGGAGGTGTAACATTTTTCTCTTTAGTCTTTTCAGACAGCTCTTTGCTCTTGGCCATGTTAGCAGTTGGATTATTAGGCCGAGTCATTATATAGTGGTTACCCCATTTTAGATGAGTGTCTGAATCTCTAGTGGATGAAAAGGTGGTGGACTCGAAATTTTCCACAATGCACCACGTAAAATAGAGATCATCGATGGTCACTAGACAAGCAGATATATCCTGGAATGTTTTGTGTGGAGAGCTCTCCACACAAAGCATTATGGGATTTGTTGTCACAGTGGCGATAAATAACAAAGATGACGCAGGCACCGTGCAAGGAGGCGGAGTCACGTAACAAACGGGGAGCGAAAAGTTGTGATCTTCTGTCTGAGCGGTATGTTAACTGAGTTTTCTATAAAGTCCACTATATAGTCCCCGCCCTATATAGTGATGGAGGGATGTAGGGTTTAGGGCGGACGTTCAGACTCAGCTTTACTGAATGTACGGGGCGCATCTAATTTAGGATAATAAATGGAGGTGGACATTTTGAAGGCAGACTAACGGGTCTTTGAGGGTCAGAATTCTAGCTCAGGGTTCCTACAGCATAAGGCAAGTTAAATTCAAGTCTTTTTAAGACTTTTTAATGCCACTTGAAATAAAAATTTAAGACCAAATTCACAAGAAACAAAAGAAAAACCGCATGTGCGACTCCACTGCCTTAATTCCCATCGTTCTGAGCTTGAATGACTTCTTGCACTAAATCCACTGAGCCTCATGTATGTTCCCTGGTTTTAGCCATGGAGAAAACTCTTGGCTGGAGACTATTTCCGTTACATTTACACTTGCTCATATTTTCTAGACAAAAAGTTAATGTTGCATCTCCCAAATGTCCCGGCTGCAACGACGCTTTTATTGGTTCCGCTATCGGGACGGAACCAATAATGGCGAGCCGTTATTTTATTTTTTTAATAAAAAAAAATAATAATTGTCAATTTTAATGTTTTATTTAGATAACAAAAATAAATCATAATAAAAATAATCCTATTTATAATGTTTTAAAAATTAAGACCTACGAAAAACAAATTTAAGACATTTTAATACCAATTAAGGCCATAGTTTTATTTTGAAGAGTTCAATGCCTTTTAAGACTTTTTAAGGACCTGCATGAACCCTGCTGATAGACAGCTGTTCAAATATTTTGTAGCTATAATTTGTAGCTGAGTCATACAAATAAATAGATTTCTGGAATTTTTTTTCTTAGATTATGTCTCCTACAGTGGACATGCCCCTGTGATGACAATTTCAAACTCCTCCATGATTTCTAAGTAGGAAAACCTGCAAAAAAAAAGCAGGGTGTACAAATACTTATTTCCCTCACTGTAAGTATTTATAAACCCTGAAGTTAGCTTGAGGGCTAGCACACATCATCAGACCACCATCCAATAAACAAGCCGACTAACCTAAAAGTAGGCCTTTAGTCTCTACAGTCATTCTACTGATAGATTTCAGTTAGCTGGACAACAGAAAAGAAGACAGGATGGTAATAAGGGACGAATTAAAGGTCAATTTATCATCTTTGTCTCATTTTAAGGCAACTAAACATAAGAATGAGAAAATCCACCTACTGAACAGTTAGAGCCACATTGCTTTGCATGAATCCTTTAGTTTTTAATTCCAATGAATTAAATATAAAGTCTGATGGATGTGAAAAAACAAAGGTTCAGATATTTTAAACTGCCTGCGGTTTTCTGGCCAATCATCAGACAGCGGGAAATACATCAGGGTTTGACCGTATTATTGTTTCTTTACAAACCAGCACAGTCAGCTGATGTGATGCCCTCAATATAAATCACAAGGCCGCAATGCATCATGGTCCGTCTGAGCTAAGTGATGATCATGCCGTCCCAGGAGATAAAAGGTGAACTCACGTATGGAGGCGTGTCCAGGCTGTCCGTGTTGACCACCACAGGCGGAGGGTTGGCCTGAGGAGAGAACAAACATGGCAGCGTCACACACACACCGTCACCCACCGTCCTCCCAGTAAATCCCCACCAACATCCACCCAGAAAGCCTGAGCTCCACCCTGCTAACACGCAGCAGACGTACGCGGTGGCTTTTCACGCTGCAGAGGATGCAGTTCTGAAGCATGAAGACGGGAATCAAACCGCCGTCGATGCTGCGAGACAAGATGAGCGGCTCCTTCCTCAAACTACTGCTGATGGCGCCGAACCAGATGGGCTCTGAAGCTCTGAATGCATCTCTGCAGCAGCTAGCGTCCCTAATCTGCTCAGTCCATCAGAGCCACAACTGGACCACAGGCTGAGCTAAACTAGGAGAGCAGCGGCCAAATAAGCTGAGAGATAACTGAAAGGATGGATGGATGACGGATGATGGATGGATGATGGATGGAGCACAGAGAGAGGAAGGACAGAGAAAGGAAATAAAAAGCAAAATAAAACCTGTGACGTCGGAGGGATGACGGTGGTCTCGGCTGGGATTGGCGAGATGGGGATCACAGGGATTATAGGAGAGGAGGGCGGGACGGCCTCGGCCTGCTGGACAATAGCATGGTGAGGGTCAAAGGTCAAACACACAGATGAGCAGCAGGAGGATGATCATGGGGGGGGTTTAACCAAACATGGCTGAAAGGGTCAGAGGAACGGACCAATCACAGGAGGAGGAGGAGGGGACAGATCTGACAGATGGTCCGGCTGTTGAGCCCCCACCCACCCCCATGGTGTGTGAGGGGAAATCCTCCGCCCTGCAGGAGCAGCTGCAGCTGGAGGTCCTCACAAGGTCAAAGGTTAATCCTTCAACAGAAACCTCAGAAACTGGACCAGAACCAAGAACCTGGAGGACTTTAAACGAGAGGCAGAGTGGTTCTGGGCCGGGTGGTTCTGTTAGTGAGGGATTATTGATCAGAGGGGAAATGTGCAGCAGCAGAGGGAACTGAGCCGACTGATCAACCAACCCAAATAAAACCATTTCAAAGCTGAAAGATCAGAACCTGGTGATGAAAAAAGGGTCCAATAGAACCTAAAATGCACGGAAAGATTATTGGATCAGTAGTAATAATCATTAACATGTATTTTTTCTTTGTGTTTTTATTTGTATATCAAGGCGATGAGAAGAGGAGCCGCTCAGATGGACCCATAAACCCAGAAGAACCGAGACCAAAACAGACTCCAGCAGAGACTGGACCCGAGGAGAGCTGCTGCTTCTGTCTGAGAGGACAGATTTAGGGTCTAAAACCAAACCGCTTCCTCCTGCTGAATGACCAGAACCCTCCAACACGGTCCGATCCGTTATGCAACAGAACCAACTTCATGAAGCTGCTGCAGAAGCTGATGGAAAACCAGCCGCCACTAAATTTAGCTCAGAACATCGACGCCATTGATCCGAAAGCCCTACTTCTGGATCGCTGCTCCAGAATCCGTCAGTACTAGGCCCAATCACTGAGCTCTTTGGCACTGAAGGGAAAAACCCACAGAAATCAGCTTTATAAGGGAAACGGGCCGCAGAGGGTCAGAACCATCAGTGGACCCAGGGGGGTCAGAACCCGACTCAGTCCAACTGATTGCAGCTCCTCATGGTTCAGAACCAGAGACCCAGAAAGGAATGGAGCCCCTGAAGCGTCCCAGTTCTGCTCTGACCCGTTCTAAACAGAATGAACAGAGCCTTGGTTTGGTCAGCAGGACATCGGGTCGGGTCGGGTCCGGCTGCAGTACCTTACTGAACCAGGGGACGTCCTTCCTGCTGCTGACCACCTTGGCTGTGCTCTTGGTGGGGCTCTTCCTCACACTGTCCCGCAGGTTGAGGAAGCGGCTGCGCGCCCTGAAGGACGCCGGGACGGCGCAGGACGTGAAGGAGGACAGCAGGCGGTGCTGCTGCAGCTCCGCGGCGTGCTGGCGCTGCAGGTGGGCCATGGACTCCTGCAGGCCGGGCTCCGGCGGCGGCCTCCGCTCGGCGGTCCTGGAGGGGAACCCCGGCTGAGGCTGACGGGTTGTCATGGTCCTGGAGGAGATCCCTGACCGCAGGCTGAATAATTAACGAGGGCGGGTTCCTCCGGACCCGGGTCGGAGCGTCTGATCCCTGCACAGAAGCAGAACTCTCCCAAACCGTCACAGAATGGGACCTCCTCCGGGCCGGCCTCCCTCTCATCTCTCTGCAGCCAATTAATCAGGCTGCGAGTGGCACATGTCAGCAGCAGGAGGGGTCCGGCTGGTTCCGCCGGCTGCATGAATAATCGATGCGACCCCCTGCATCCGCTCAACAGCAGCCATGACGCAGGCAGAAGGCTGCCGCCGTCACTCAGGGGACCGGTTCTGGTTCTGATCCACAAACACAGAAGGAACACCCTGTTTCCATTAGAACCAGTCCTCCTCGGCCCAATGGATCCTCCTTATTCACAGGAAATCATCCAGAACCCGGAGTCCCTGAACGCCTTTGGATCCAAACCGGGTCGACCCGGATTAAATCTGAACACAGTGAATGTTTGCTTTTCCACACGAGCCTCAGATTAAACCTAATCCCAGTGGCGCCTCCTACTGGCCACCCTGATACACACAGCTACAGAGGTTCTGCCCATCCAGCTCTGCTCTGGACCCGCTGGTTCTGGTTCTGTACCATCCAGCTGTCTGCCTCAGGATGCAGCTGAATGGAACCACAGAACAGTTTGGGTTCTGCTACATTCTGAGTCTCTGAACCCAATTTATAGCCTCAGAACCGCTGTCAGCTTCAGGTTCTGACCCGGTTAGAACGGCCCGTCACACTCAGAACCCAATGATCGGTTCACCGTCCGGTTCTGATAGTTCTGCAGATCCAAACTCCACAGGTTTTATTTCTCAGAATAAATCAAAGTTAAAAACAGCACCATGCAGAGAGGAGCCGGTTCTGACCCAAACCAAAGGAGCTTCAGATGACCGGGTCAGGATGAAAACAGGCCAACGGAGGAGCGTTCACAAACACCGACCCGTTTCAAACTGTTGCAGAACTTCTACTGCGTCTCAAACAATAACAGGAGAGGTCCGATAACATCCGGGCCATGACCAGAACCAACATTTAAAGGATTATTGAGCGGTTCTGAGGGTTGGCCCACTTCTCCTGATGGATCCACTTAGAGCTGTATCTGACCCGGTACTGCTAAGGTCAAACTGGATCTGGTTTGGAGAGTAATCCGGGTCAGATCAACCAGAACCAGCTGGACTCTCTGGTTCTGGATCCGTCATTGGTTCTGGTGTGCGGCCCACGGGCCGTCCCGGTTAACCGGGGATCAGCCGGACGGCGTGTTCTCCTGGTCATGCATGTTAACACGCGCGCTGGAGGCGGTGAATGGGGACCCGGCGGTTGCTAGGCAACGTCAGCAGAGACATGTGTGGCTGGTTCCCATCAGAACACGATGCAGGTGAACCTGGAGTTCTGAGCACGATGGACCCGATCGGACCCGACGGCGGCTGGAGGCTCCCGCTCTGCGCGTTCCGGTCGGACCGGACCGCTCTCTGGCCGCCACATGACGCAGCAGCTCCGACGCTCGTCGGGGGCAGCAGCTGCAGCGGGGGGGTGGGGGGCGGACCTACCAGCAGACGGCGGTGGAGGCGTTTGGTTCTCCTCAGGGTGCCCATGATGCGGCGCCCCATCTTCTTGGCGTACCAC